AATTCTCCCCTCCCTGTCTGAAAACGCCTGGTTCAGTAATTCGAAGGTCTAGCTAAAGTAGATTTTATGAAACTACTACTTAAGTATCTTTCACACTAGTAAAAAATAATTCTGTCTGTCTAAGAAATTAAATAATGAAAAATCTGCATAAAATGTATATTTCTCGCATTGTGATAAAACAACAGTACGTAGAGGCATCGAATTTTGAATGACGTAATCCTCCTACGAATATGGGTATGTGAAAGATCAAATTGGAAATTTGGAGTTTGTTTTATTATCAATTTCCAATTTTGTAAAACTTTAACGAATGTTTGATTAACAAATTCAAAAATTTTAAAGTCTGTAAGTTTCACAGCATACTAAGTTTCCATCCATCCTGGTCTGATTGCATTTGATGTCACAGGCATTTCCATTCAATTTGAACTAGATTATACACATGGTAGAGTCATTATCAAATATTTGATGTTATTTAAGAAATAAGTTGAATAGAAAGAACTGTTTTCATTGTAACACCTTCAGGTTCATCCGTAAAGGAATTTTGAAACTCCATTGTTTGTCTTCCAAGAAAACTTCTGTATCATGGCAATACTTAATATTGCAAGCCAGACTTCAATACAATTTCTTTTGGTGCGTGCGTACATGCATGTATATATATATATGGGGATTTTAGACGATGAACAAATTAATTAACGGAAGACATTTTAATTACACAAACGATTGTTACATAAATTTAACATTTAAGAGAATTAAACAAGTAATGATTCGTCAAAGTTCTTTTTTGAACAGAAGCAGCGTCTCTGCTCCCACGTCAATCGTGTATCATCTCAAAACGGTAATTCCCCTAATTTTTGCTTGGCGCCTTCAGAGCTCGTAGAGAGAATGACGTCACGGCATCTGGTTTTCATCAATCACAGCTCCAAGCGATCGGCACTACATTTTCGGCCATCCCGAGGGTGGACTTGGCCCTCCAGGACACTGCAAAATAATAATAATAATGACAAAAAAAAAAAAAGCAACAAGGAAGGATTATACAATAAGAGAAATACGTGTTCGTGAAAAATTTTAAAGCGCCGTCCATTTCTTGAGGAATTCGGCACATGTGGTGGTGCATATGGGCCCCTCATGGCACCCTTCCTTTATTACGTCATAGGTGTTGCCACCCTTAACTTTCGTGATCTTATAAGGTCCGAAATACTTCGCTCTTAATTTTAAGTGTGGTCCGAATTGAGTCCTTTTGATTGCCACTAAGTCACCAACTTTGTACGGCTGTGCTTGTCTTCTTTTGGCATTATATGTCTTTTTATTTTCCTGTTGGACTTGGAAAATTTGCCTCTTGGCTTGTTTTCGTAATTCTTCTCTTTGAGACTCGAATTGAGATTGAAACTCACTTTCTATCACTTCTTTGAGCTGATCGGTGCCCTTACTGTTCATTTTAGTACCGAAGAGTTATTCAAACGGAGTGGTGTTAATGCTTCTTTGATATGTTGAGTTAAGCGTTCCTCTGAACTTCGTGTGTATGTTTATACCATTCGGTTTGGTTTTTAAGGACAAATTTCGCTAATACTGATATAATGAACTTGGTTGATTCGTTCGACTTGTCCATTTGCTCTCGGCAGGCCTGTGGTGATTAGATGATGTTTAATATCTTCTTTAGCACAGTAGTCAGAAAACTCACTGGATGTGAAAGCCGTTCCTCTATCAGAAATGAATCTGACAAGGGCTTCCAAAAATGACCTTCTGATTCTCTAACTTCGCTATCACCTCGGCTGAGGTCGTAGATTTTGTTGGATAAATCCAAGTAAATTTAGTAAAGCGTCGACCACTAACTAATATGTGTTTGTAGTTTTTATGGGTACTTTCCAGAGGACCCAAGATGATCGCATATGATAGGTATGCAACGCAATGTCCTCCTTGAATTGCAGATGTAAAAATCCTTCCTTTTTCTCAGTTTTGCAATTTATTAAGATGCAATGAACACAATTGGCGATAATGTTTTCTATCTTCTGCCGAAGTTTGGGAATGAAATAGTATTCATCCAGGTGTTTCTCTGCATGCTTGATACCGGTGGGCCCTTTCTCGTGAGCATCTTTTATGATTTCAGTCTGCATACTTTCTGGTATGACTATCAATTCTCTAATGTCAATAAACTTGTATAGTACGCCATTTCTATTACAATAATTTTCATAACTTTGAGGTTTTCAATAATTCCTTAATGGTTTTTATTTCAGTGTCATTTTCTTGGGCAAGTTTTAATTTAGGTAAGATATTTTCAACAACAGAAATACATAAGACGTTTACAGGAGCTCTACTTAGAGCATCTACATGTGGCATTCTAACACCTTTACGATGCTCTATAAACATAATCGAATTCCTGTAACAACAGAGTCCCAACGAGCAACACGCGTCGCTAAATCTCTTTTTTCCATCGTCCGTTGAAAATGCTGAACAGTCCCGTCACTATCTTAAATGAAATTCCCAAAAGGTAAACAACGGAACCTTTTTCAGTGCTTCTACGATCGCGAGGACCTCCAACTCGTAACTTGAGTACTTTTTCTGTGCATCTGAGGTTTTCCTACTCATAAAATAAGTGGGGTGAAAACTGCTATCACCTGGAGGTTTCTGCATTAGAATCGCCCCATATCCTTCTATGCTGGGTGTAGTTCGGTTTCATAATGAGGATTATATATTGCAAGTACAGGTTTCTCAGCTAGCGCTGATTTCAAACGATTGAATGCGATCTTTTGTTCTTCACCGAATTCGAACTTATTACCCTTTTTTAGCAGGTCGTTAAGTGGCTTGACAATTATAGAGTATTTATGATTAAATTTTCTGAAATACCCTGTCAGCCCAAGAAAACTTTGGATCTGTTTTAAATTAGATGGTTCAGGGAAATTTATAACATCTTCAAGGTGGATGGGAAATTTTTACCCTCTTCTATGACATGGCCTAAAAAGTCAATTCGTTTCTTTAAGAATTGGGATTTTTTAAAATTTATTTCCAACCTGTATTCACTCGCTAGATTTAAAACTTGACTCAGCCTCTCGATTCCCTCTTTGTATGAGGCGTACAAAATGATGATATTGTCCATGTACGGCAAAACGATGCCTTCGTTAACTAACGGTCGAAAAATGGTATTTATGAATCTCTGGAACACAGCTGGTGAGTTACAGAGTCCAAACGGCACTTTCAAAAACTGGTACTGTCCTTCATGCGTAACAAATTATGTGTACTTCCGACTTTCCTTTTCGACGTCCACGTGAAAAAAGTCATTTTTGAGATCAATAGTGCTGAAAACACGTGCTTCTTGAAGGCGGTCTAGGATATCCTCAAGTCAGGGTAAGGGGAAATCTATCCTTTACGACAACTTTGTTTAAATTAAACGACGATCAATCAACGCAAACTCTTGGTGTCCCGTCCTTTCTTTTTAACGATGATCCAATGGGCTGGAATATTCCGAAGAACTCTGTTCTATAATTCCTGACTTTAGCCATTCGAGATATTTGGGTTTCAACAATTTTCTTTTCCGCAAACGGTAATCAACGCGGTTGATGCGATACTGGTTCGTTATTTTTAACGCAAATTTTTAGCTGTATGTCCGTAGATTTGGTCTTACGTGGCATATAGTTCGAAACTAACTGTTGAACAGTCTCTTTAAAGTAGTTTGGAACACTAGGTGCAATGTTTATTTCGTGTCTTCGTTACTAGCTAGGTATCAACAGGTGAAAACAGATACAATATTTACTTCCTCTACACCCTGTGACTTATTTTTTATGGTAAACCCCATTTTCGTTTATTAATATTTCACCTTTTAATATTACGTTTAAGCCTAAAATGGCTTCATGTGTCATCACATGTTGTCTACAACACAAATATCTGCAGTACACTGGAAATCATTAATTTTAATATTACCTTTAAAGAAGCCTAGACGTTTTACTTGACATTTACCGAACCCACTCAGCGTTGAACTTACGGGCACGAGGCCTTCGATATTCAGTTTATCAAAAGTCGATCTACGTAACAAAGTAGTTTGACTTCCTGTGTCTATTAACGCGGTTACATATGCAATCATTAATTTTTTACTTCTTTCGGTCAACTTCGAGACTACATCAATACTTCACGGCTTGATACTCCTGATGGTTCGAATTCGTATTTGAGCATTCGAAACTTCGGTGCCCAAATTCTTTACATTTAAGAGCACTTGACTCCCTTATCTTTATGAACACATTGTTTGGAAATATGACTGCTTTTCACCGCAGTTGAAACAAGGTTGTATTACGTTTAATTTCAGGAATTGTTCCTTCGACTATCGGTTACGTTACGCTTTGTTTGGTTAACAGAATTTTTTGAGTCATATTTATGTCTAGATTCAAATTTTTTCTTTACTTTCAGATTTTGCTTTTGACGTTCGCGAACTTTTCTTCATCATCACATATCTGTTGATAAAGCTTCAATTTGTTCTTAAAATCAGTTAATGTTTGTGACCCATACAAGCAAGATTTTTTAAACGTGGAGCCTGGTATACCATCTATAACATATCGTATTAAAGCAACATCTTCAATTTGACCATTTTTAGCAATTCTTTTCATATTTAAAAAAAACTCATCAAATGTTTCATTCCTCTTCATTTTTTGTTTTGATAATAACTCATGCAGTTCGGCCGAATTGCAGTTGGACCGGAATTCATCAAGAAAGGCATTCTTAAAAACTTGCCACGAATTCAACTTTGTTTCACTAAGAACAAATAGTTTTGCTTTGCCTGTCATCAGGCGTTTAGCAAAAATAAGTTTTTGTAAATCATTTAACTGAAGAATCGTAGCTGCATCTTCAAAACTTTCGACCCAACTACTGACATTTTCGTGGCTTTGGCCATCAAATTGAGCAACAAATGATTTGATGTCTTCAATAGTAATATTTATACTACAGTTATAAAATACATTCGACTTGTTTTCAATGGTACTAAGAATATTATCATTAGCATATTGGGAAGGAAGTTGTCTTACTGTGGCACCAGAATTGTTTCTTAGCTTCGTTTCATCTCGAACATTATCATCTACTTCTTTTTTATCCTCACCATCCACACCCTCTGAATCACTTTCGTTTTCACTTTCTTCTAAAATTACATTATTTTTAAGCACTTCTAAATTATTCAGATAAGAAACAATTCGGGTTGTTAAGTCATCTTGTGTACCAGAGCTTATCAATGCATAAAACATTAGGCAATGGAAAATTAATTCATAAGCCTGAAAATCTTGTTTGATTTTTTCAAGTTTTTTCATGAAGTTCTTTACTATTCTCTGCTAAAGAGAAACCACTAAATTCTCTTAATCCTTTTTCGAATTATTTCTGTCGCCCACATCGTTAAATATTATCTTTGTGTAATTAATTTTATATTATGTGCTTTTTCACTTTTTCAGGACATCTACCATTCCTGCGATATCAATTAGAAACATAGTTACATAAAACTGTGCATAAAATTAAGGACGAGGACGGCTTTTTCAATATAACTTTGTACAAAAAGCTTTCCAAATCATCACATTAATACCGTAATATCCCCAATACGTAAGGACATGAGTAATATAAGCAAACACTTACTAAAAGAGAAATCAGAGGGATAAAAAGAAGCTTTATTGAAAAAGTAGCATGGAGCGCAATGCGACTGAAGGCCGAAACATCCCTGTGATGGGTGTCCAGCAAGAAAACATTCGATCTTTAATAGGGGATATGATCTCCCCTGACTGCTACGCAGGTTTCACAGCGTCTGCCCATGCTGAGAATGAGGGTGTCAATGAGTTGTTGAGGCATTGCTGCCCAATCGTCTTGTAGCGCCAATCGAAGCTCCGGAATCGTTACTGGTGGTAAGGAACAAGCTGCCAAGCGTCTGCCTAGAAAATCCCATACATGCTCGATGGGATTGAGATCCGGAAATCGTGCTGGCCGCCAATCGCTACGTTCAATATCCTCACTCTCTAAGAGCTGTTCGGCAGCTACTGTGCGATGACATGGTGCATTGTCGTCCATGAAAAGGAACTGCGGACCCATAGCGCCTCTCAAAAGACGCACATATGGAAGAAGAATCTCGTTACAATAACGGGTCCCGTTGACTGAACCTGCGTCGAAGATGTGAAGGTCTGTTCGACTTCCCCCCTCGGGGTTGACTCGGAGACGTCCTGGGAAGTAGTGGTTAGGATCTGTACCTAGGCAGTCTCAACCACGGGGGTACATAAACACTCTTCATAGGACTAGAACCCGAGTATTGTACTCAGGTAGGTTCGGGCTTGGCAGGGACCGTACTGGTACTGTCGTGTCCGTTCCCCCGGCTGTTGTGGAGCAGATATGTAGATATAAGCGGGGCTTTTCGATGGGGGTTTGGCCCTCATAGTCCCAGTGACGGGGACTGATTGAGTAAGGCAAGGCACCGAGAACGAATTAACTGATGCTGAGGGAGTGGTGCCCCGAGGCAAAGGTGACTTTGGTATCTTTTTTGATTTCGCACTTCGTGATTTTTCTACCTCGCCGAGTCTGAGTATAAACCCGGGCAGGGACTGTGGGGTCTGCGCCGCCACTGATGAGTCCCATCCAGAGCCAGTTTCATCTAAACTTTGCAAGGAATACTCCAGGTCGGAAGGTTCGGTCTTCTGGCGCCCATGTCCCATGTCCCATGTCTGTACGACTACCAAGCATGATGCCTCCCCAAACGAGAACACCGCCACCTCCATACCTGTCCCTTTCAATGATGTTCGAGGGATGATTGCGCTTCCCCGCTCTCTCCAGATGAGTATGCGATGAGAATCGCTACTCAGACTGAATCTGCTCTCATCTGTAAAGAGTACTCGTCCCCATTCATTGTCTCTCCAATTCTGGTGTTCCCGGCACCACAGAGAACGCCTTCTCCGATGGGCAGGCGTTAGAGGTACACACCGTACAGGGCGTCGTGCAAACAGACCACCACCGTGCAGTCTTCTGGCCACGGTAAAACGCGATATCGGTCGTCCAGTCGCCTGTGTCGTGTGTCTAGCGATTTCTCCCGCTGTCTGCCGCCTGTTTCTTCTGGCCTGTAAGGCAATATACCGGTCATCTGCGGGTGTGGTTTCTCGTGGACGACCACTACTAAACCCCTGGATAGCTGTTCCTGTAGTTTGAAATTGTCTCCAAAGTCGTGAAACGATGCTGTGAGCAATTCCGAACTCTGCAGCCACACTTGTCACACTGCGGCCTTCCTCCAACTTCCCAATGATTCGACCTCGGGTAAAAGCATCCAGATGTCGTCTAACAGATTGATTATTCGCCATTTCTCGCTGAGGCAGCAACTCGGTGTGATTTTAACTGCTATACGGCGTGCAATCTCTTCTCCAGAAATACTGATCTTACACCTACAACATGCTTTATACTACTCAGACACTCCCCCATTACGTCTACCTGCATATCTGCGCATGTGCTCACCTTACTTAATCTCCTGATTGGTCTTTCTGTCCGCTCTGCCTCTTCGTTCAGCTGATATGCTAATTTTTCGACTTCGTCCTTAATTTTTGCACACCAGTTTAGTTAATAAAATTGAGAAAATCAGTCACTTCATATAATGGTAATCCACGATGTTCCTGACTCTATAATCCGGAAACAGAAACGAAAGAAAGTACTTCCATATCCTCCAATAGATCACGAATGGTGTCGGTAAAGCGCGAATACAAACAGGTTATGTCCGATGGATTTTTGGCCACACTTCACGTCTTGACACTTGACATCCGGTATTATTAAAATTTATTCCACAGTCCTTAATAGAGCTGCACACTATTTACTCACTATTACGCAGTTTCAGTTCAGGTAAATCAGCATACATTCCTAGGAGTTTGACGAGATTTTTGTTCGAAACACAGTTCATTATACATCATAAAATAGTCCAGCACAGCAAAAATAAATCTTCAAAACCGGTAGTAATCCAGGAAAGCAGGTAAAACTACAGTTCATTCGAGTGCTGAAGTGCTATCCCACTTCTGAGAAAATTTTTGTGGGGATTTTAGACGATGAACAAATTAATTAACGAAAGACATTTTAATTACACAAACGATTATTACATAAATTTAACATTTAAGAGAATTAAACAAGTAATGATTTGTCAAAGTTCTTTTTGAACAGAAGCAGCGTCTCTGCTCCCACGTCAATCGTCTATCATCTCAAAACGGTAATTCCCCTAATTTTTGCTTGGCGCCTTCGGAGCTCGTAGAGAGAATGACGTCACGGCATCTGGTTTTCATCACAGCTCCAAGCGATCGGCACTACATATATATATACATATATATAGTTTTTCGTTTTGAAAATGGTTTTGGAAAGGAATTGTTTTTCTTATTTTTTTTTCTGTGTAATTTAGGACTGTTTTATGCAGTTCCTCCCTTTTCGTGTGAAATATGTAATTTTTATTCCTTTTAGTATCAAATGTATCATTTTTCTTTCCTTTTCGTGCGAAATATATCATTTTCCATTAAGCGGAGATGTTTATTCTTAAATGATAATGAATTTTTTTAGATACCAATTTTGTCTGCTAATAATTTAAAAAGATCATGTACGTCAAACACATGTTAAAGGCATTTCACTGAATACTTTTGATTAATTAAAAACTTTAAATTCGAAAAGACTTCGTTTGACTTAAAATTTAAACCTTGAACAGTTGTTAGAATCATAAATATAAATCAAAATAAAAGGGAAATTAAAGTCCTATTAAGAGTAAAGAAACTTTCCAACAGATACTGTAAATGTCTGTTAAAATATTTGTAATATCATATTTTTACATTAATGAATTCTTCATTCTAAACATAAAAAAATACTAAATTTGAGAACTGTGAGATTTATAGTTAGAAGCAACTCCTCACTAATACAAATAAGAACGCATTTCATTTTTATTTAGTCTTTGAATGGTTAAAAAAACAGCTGTAATAAAAATTGACCACACAATTTATAAATGAAAAAAATGGTAGATTTCGAAACTAAAGTAATACAAAAAAAAAGGTTTTTCTATTTGTGCAGCGTCAAATGGTTTCCTTTCCGTTAGCAGTATGTTCTTAATAATGCCAATTATTACTCTGCTATTACAAATAAGGAAGTCGTTTACGTAAAAATTAAAATAACTTGAACATTATCGAGATAAATATAGTATTCACTTAGAAACATATTGTTTTGGAAATGTGTTTTTATGAAGAGTGTTGCCAAAAACAGCCTTAATGCATAAATGTATTATATTTAAAAAGTTTTTGTATGAAACAAATGGCCTAAATTGCGTTATTAAAAATGTTTATGTTCGAAATGAAAAGAAAGCATCAAATTATTTCCTTCTGCTCTAAAATTGGTTTTCAATTTCAACAGAGGTAAATAACCTTTCTATCATCATCATTTATATTATTCTATGAAAATTATGCTCACAATCAAAGCACAGAAGTATTAATATGAATAACCAAGCATTACGGTTACTTTTTTTAAATACCTGGAATAACTCGAATTAAACTATGTTATTAAGTTGTCTGATATAAGCTATTATTGAAACTCTATGCCATACATCAAGATAACTTAATAAAAGTTTTAGTTTTTGTAAGCAGGAATATTTCAACCCGAGGACACTCGAATTTATTTTGTGACATAAAATGAAATTAATTAAAAAGATGTTTCAGTTGATTGTAATGTAAACTCAATCTTGAATAATTTGTTCGATGAAATCTGTTTTATATATGATAGCTAAAAATATATGAACTCAGAAATTACTACTTTCTATCAAAGGAATGAGATTATTAATTAGTTTAAGAATTTCTTTACCTAGTTTGAACTCAGCTCATGTGCAAGGAAAAGATCCCGTATTAATTTTGCGAAATGAATTATAGTTTAAGCAGCTGTAACTTCTAGTTTATTCCGTTGTTAATGCGTTTTCTGTTTGCCTACGAGCTAATTTTTGTGAGTTATCATTCGTTTATTTTTTACATGTTCCTAGCTAAGGCAGTGTACGGAAGGAAAAGATGCCTTCGTAGAGGAAAGTGAGGGAAGCTGGCTCCTATTAACACGTTGCACAGAGGAAACCACGAAAACGCCCATGCTGCCAGCCCGTTCGCGGAATTCGAACCTCGGACCGAACTACCAGTGTTCAGGGACATTAACCGCTCGGCCGCAGATGGGCCGTTATCATTCGATTGATCACCGATTAGTTTTAAAATAAAGAAATTTTTAATTTAGGTTCGACTGTAATTTTGTGAAGTTATTAGTCCAAAGGGGCTTTGTCACTGAAGGACTATTGTTCTCGTTTTGCGATTTTGCGTTGTTTCACTATAAATGTCCGTTTCACTTTTCAAATTGTTGCCATCAAATGTTAGAGTCCTGCATTATATTTGAAGAAATTAAATAATGAAAAATCTGCATAAATGTATGTATGTTTCTCGCATTGTGATAAAACAACAGTAGAGGCATCGAATTTTGAATGACGTAATCCTCCTACGAATATGGGCATGTGGAAGCCCAAATCTGAAATTTGGAATTTGTTTTATGATCTATTTCATATTTTGTAAAGCTTTAACGAATTCTTGATTAACAAACTGAACGATTTCAAAGCGAGCAATGGCAACACTGTACGGAAAAAAAAATTTATCTCCAGCGTGCGAGACTATGTATCGAAAATTCTAAAAATATGCTCATTTTAAAATTATTTTGTGATATTGCTGTTGAACTGAATTTTATCGTTTAAGTGAGAAGAACATGTTATTTAATAAATAAAGGTAACACACAAAACCTTAAAAAAAAAAAAAAAAAAAAAAAAAAATTTGGGCGTAATCTAAAATCTGAAAACTTTCAGATTTTCTTTAAAACCTTAAATCATCAAATAAAATCAAAAGGTTCAATATATTATTACATCGTCCGTACTGTAAAGTGTATAGAGTAAGACAGTTTATTTCGTTATCGTACCTAACGCGTATATAGTAAGAGGGTTATTGCATTACCAAGAATCTTTCTTATAAAAGTTTTGTGTTAGACGCATCAAATGAAAATGTCGAATACTGCAGGTGGTAATTAACAACAAAATGTCGCCCTTCAGTGCCAAGAATAATGTAGAATTTTATTTTAATCGAATTAATTTTCAGTATAATAGTCATTTCCTTTAATGGGATGATAAAAAATTTGAACTTTATTTGTAAAAAATCTAGTGCGGACACCACATGACTTCCTTGTGCGGTAATTAACATAATTTTTGCAATTTTTAAAATTATATACAATTTTTGCTGCACTTCATTTAAAGTTATTTTCTGGAATTAGTCTAACGTCGTTAACCGTTCGCTCAAAGCAAGTTGAAGTGACATCAAAGATTGCAAATTTTGAAATTAAATATCCAGGTCAATTTTTGTCGTACTGGAGTAAATTTCATATAATTTTATTTTTTCATAACGAGTATGAGACTTTCCCAAATATAAGTATAGGAACTAAGAGATCGCACTAAGATTAGTTTTCGTTATTTGTCGAAAATTATTTTTTTTAATTTGACATTGCCAAAACATGAATGTTTTAGTCATTTAAAACACTTCTGTAATGGTCGTTGTCATATAGTCATCACACAAGGTTTGATAACTATATGACTACGACCAACGATTGCGAATGGAAAGGCCGGGTAAAGGAGTAGGTAGATATACATATACGTATATGTTTTGCTGCTGCCTATTGCAGTAAAAAAGAAAGAAAAGAGAGGTGGCCAACTAGATGTTACAGCAGCTCCATATACAAAATTTTAACGGTCTACGGTATATCGTATTTGAGTTACGCGACATGCATACGTACATACGCACGTACGTACAGACGTCAAAAAAGAAAAATCCCTTTTGAATGCATTTAAACCAATTTTACACTCTGTTTTGAACACAGAACCCTTTATTCTGTCTGTATGTACAGATATCACACAAAAAGAATCGTCCGCATGGATTTGGGAACGTCAAAATAGATATTTTATTTGAAATATGATACTCGAAATTTTTCACAATTACAATACTTCCTTTACGTAGTAAAAATATTTCAGCTCTGTTATTCCATAAATAAAATTAAAATAATTTTATTGGGATAAAAAAGTCAGATTGTAATCAGCTGATGATCGTTGTATTTATGTAATTTCAAAACGACGCATTTAAAACCGATGGTATAATGTGGTAATATAATAAAATAAGTCACGCTACATATGCAGTTAATTGTACTAATACTGAAAGATCGTCTGTTGATCATAATCTGATTTTTTTTATCCTAATAAACATACTTTTATTTTAAACGACCGGTTTAACATCGTACTCGCGTTGCCACCAGTAAAAGGCGGAATTTGTCAGTTATCTTATCCCTTTAATTTTATAGAAACAAAGTTACTACATATGAAGTTAAAAGAAGGAAGTTCTTTCAGAATAAGTCATGCAATCTACAGCTACTATAAATAGACTGATACGCAGTTGCATGGACCTCCGACCTAAGGTTCTACACCAATCAGAGTTATATGTCCATGCGATGGAAAAGAATCTACAGTCCACCGCCAGCGGCATTCACTGAATCAATGATAGTAATATTACAATGCTAAATTGATAGTGTCATCTATACAATAATTGTTACTCTCGCTGAAAACTTGAATGAATGTGGCTGCTATATTATGATAAACATGAGCAAGTTGTAAATGAAAGTTTCTATCATATGGATGGCTGTTATAGCGGACGTAAGGAATCTGGCTTAACCATCCTCTGAACAAAGACTCAAAATTAGGATCGTATTAGTTTAAATGCTTAGGATGGAACAGCAAAGCTGAAATATTTACTAGCATAGAACAACAAGGGCAAAATATTTATTTTACTTTATATTTACACGTCTTAATTCCACTCAGTTCTTTAGCAA